GGGCAGTCAGATGTCGCCTGCTGTCGACAGCAGAGGCGATCGCAATTCGGCTCCATAACCCGGACCTATGTGCACAGAAAAAGCTCGTCCACACTTTAGCCTTGCCTTGGCCTGAGATCAACGCGACTAACAATGGCAGTCACGCCAATTCACTTGACCAATCAGACCAAACACGTAGACTTATCGATTAGTTACTCTGTTTCAGTGACTCAATTTAAACCATCGTGTCTATTCTAACTTGCTTTATTGTGGTTGTATTAGCCTGATGATGAAGCCATGAAAACAAGCTTGTTCGCTACTTTCTGTTTCTGAGGTTAGTATTACACGAATGCTTTTGACGAAAGCCATGCTGCTCTGGGGCTATTAAGTTGTGTCTTTCTAAATACTGCATCAGCGCATCTGCGATGATTGATTCCATCACTTTGGATAGTACTGGAAGTAGTGTTATTGGACGGTAGTTGGCAGGATCAATGCGGCTACCTCTTTTATGAATAGGAGTGATGACTGCTCGCTTCCATGCTGGTGGAATACGGTTCTGCTCTAGACATCGCTGATAGAAAATAGCCAGCGATGCTGCTAGATCACTATCTACTGCCTGTAGAGCCTTTGGTCGGATGTTGTCAGCTCCGGGAGAACTGTGGATATGCAAGCATAACAACTTCTTCAATACAGCTTCCGCAGGGAAGGTGATGTTTTCTAAACCAGATGGTGGAGTATTAGAAATGAGGAGAATGTTTGAGCTCGTTACCTCCTGGAAAGTTCGGGAGTAATGAAGCCGTAGGAGATCAGCTGCTTCCATTGCTGATCGCGTGCACCCATCAGCCGTGGCTAGTGCTGGAACCCCTCGCTTTACCTTTCGAAGGCCGTTAATGTGCCTGTACAGGAGTTTGCGATTCGTGCAGAATCGCTTCATTAACTTCTGCTGATGAGTGATTTTGTCTTCGCGGGTTAGTTTCACACAGAAGTTACGATGGGTCACGTATGCAGTCCAGGTTTCGGCATTCGGGCAGTCCTGGTGATCTCGCCATGCTAAATCCCTCCGGGACATACATTTACGTGTCCTGCTCCTCAGAAATGAATTACGCTTGTTTTTAGGTTGGAAGGACTTCTGCTCTGATGCGTGCGCTACCAGTGTACTAAAGGTCCTTGTAAATGTTTCCCAGGCAACATCTGGGGGGCATTCGAATAAGAAAGTCCAAGATGTATCCTTAACAAGCTTAGAGAACACATTGTAGTGTGTGACAGTATGCACTTTATCCTCCTCCTTTTCAGGGTACACGGCATAGCATATATAGTCAAAGAGTAGAGTAACATGATCACTACGACCCAGTGGTGTGCTTGTAACTATCCCGCTAACCATGAGTTCTTCGTTAGTGAGCACAAGATCCAGTATCGACGGCTTGTTAGCAGTTCGAAATCTGGTGGGAGAGGTTACGTGGTTGTAAAGAGGGTGGCTAGCCATAAGCTCATGCAAGCAGGCTTTAAACTGCGTACCGTCAGTTGCCGGCGTTTCTATGTCATGCACGTTAAAGTCTCCCGCGATAAGAATGTGGGTGTAGGACTTGTTCAAAGCAAACTGGTAAACGTGGTTCAGTTTGGAGTCCATTTCCGAAGTTGAGTTTGGTGGGCGATAAATCACGGCTAGTAGGCATGTGTCCTTGTTTCGCAACCATAGGCGGCACCAAAGCGAATCGGGAGGTCGGATTTCCGGGTGATCGATTACTTCACATCGGAGGTATAACTTCACATCGGAGCGAATGCTTTCGAGAAATCCAGGTAGATCATCACATCAACATCCTCTCCAGCGTCAAGTGACTGGGTCCTGCTACATCGTGTCATTAGTAAGTTCGTTGTGCACAATCGATTTCGACGGATGCCGTGCTGCTCAGTAATAATAATGTTAGAGTTTTCCAAATAGCCCACCAACGGGTCGGTTATGATGGGTTCCATCACCTTGGACAATATAGGGAGAAGGGAAACTTGGCAATAGTTGGAAACCTTGGTCCTGCTTCCATCTTTGTGAATGGGTGTTGTTATTACAAGCTTCCAAATAGCAGGAACTTGGTTCTGATCTAGGCCGGGCTGGAGGAACTGAGCCATTGGCTCTGCCAGTTGACTTGCTGCTGCTCCCACTTTCTCTGGGCGAATAGCATCGACACTCGGGGATTTGTGCTTGCGTAGATTGGTCAGCTTCTGCAAGACAGGTTCGGTGGTAAAGGAGATGTGAGTGAGTCCCGGCGGCGGGACGATAAAAGCTGGAGGATCTGCTGATGCTGGGCATATTGCATCCGCAACGCGTTTGCCGCTTCCGTAGCCGTTCGTGTTGGTCCATGAGCGGTCTTAAGTGGCGGAATTCCTTGCCGAACTTTCCGGAGGCTATTGACGTGCATATACAGCAGTTTGTGATTGGCAATGAAACTTTCGCCATATTCTGCTGATGCGCTGCTTTGTCCTCTCCGAGAAAATGAGTGCAGTGGTTTCGTTGGGCTATGTAGTTATCCCAGCTTTTCGGTGTTGGGTATAATGTATACTCTCACTACTCTGCGTTGCGTACCGCCAACAGTTTTCCAGTTCTGCTCTTTACGTAAGTAAGGATGTAAGGATGAACACGGCAAAGTTCCGTAATTACTCATATTGTCTATACCTTTTTCAAACAATTACGTTCATAGTACTTTCAAATTCCTCCTTAACGAAAGCATGTTCATCCATAGAGCAATCAAGATGGTCCTTAACACTATCAACTTACATCCAGCAGATACAAATGCTACTAGAATTGCGCAGTGTAGGTTGAGCGTTTAATTCCGAAACAGCCAATGGTAGAACAGATGAACAAAGAGTGGGATGCTGTTGGCTGAATGAGATTGGTTGCTCAGCGAACACATTTAGGGGTATTCGCGCCCATTGAATGCGTTGATAGGTTTAAGGATAGTCTTTAGAGCTCCATGGAGGAAAATGATTTTGTTAATGTTGTATTTAAAATCTGTATGGATGAAATTGACCGAGGTTCCATTGAATATTGTCGAAAACTACTAATAAAACGGTACTAGTTTGGGTATCATGAACCGATATTTTAACCTAACTAGGAAAGCCATCAGTTAATAATAAATGTATTGATGGTTAGGGGTAAGCAACGCCATGTCAACCGTGGTTACATCGGTTGTCGCCACTCATCATTATCTTCATTCCTTAGACTTCGCCCTTAAGAACGAGTTCACATGGTCTATCCTCCCCAAACATACTCCTCGCCGTGCCAGGGGTTGGATCGGGTCAATCCCGTTCCAGCGAATGTTTTAGCGACGGTGTTCCAGGACTGGATGGGTTTCCACTTGGCGAGCCTTCTCTCTATGTCACAAATGTCTGTTTAACAATACTGTGGCACGTTTAGACATACACGGATCCAGCGTTACCGCCAAACATGTAACATTTTCACACCTTAACCAATCATTTGTGTTCATATTACCATTAGCATGCCTATGTAGGCTTGCCTCACATGATGGAAAATGGACTATTTATTTATTAAATCATTTCAGTCGTTTTACTACTAGATATTAGACAGTTCTGTGCTTCATGTATGCAACGCTGTAGACTACTTTGGGGCTTCAGGCTGAAAGCGTATTGCTCCGAGAGGGATACTTTCCCGAGGACGGCAGTTTTGAGAACGTTTGTGTGCTAAACCACTACCTCTCTCATTCAATCCAGCTGGCTACCTCCATCGTTACCAGAGTTCTAAGCTTGATTTCACGATTTCGAGCTCCGCACAGGGTCAACTGTTCACTGCTAACCAGTCCCGTGAGATGAATTAGTTCGCCCTTCAACTTTCCGAGAGTACGGTGACTAATTGCACATGTCCGTATGCATGAGACACATAGGGGACGTTTAGCTATCCATACTCACTAATTATTTGAGGTACATATGTTCACCTTTGCTTGATTTTTACCGTTGGATTTCGAAATAATGTAGCATACCCAAAGGTAAGTTTGCATCTGCACTTTACAACTCGGATGAATTACTTTTTAATTCTATCTCTCTAAGATAGGAAGGCATGATTTTTGGTCTATTGTTAGTATGGAACCCTCATACCGGGGTTAGCTTACGCATCAGCTGCAACAGTGGTTACCACTTTTTGCCATGGACAATGAGCCAAAGTCAACAGTCACTCAGACTCAGGGCAATTCCTGTGACCTATTGAATCAAATCATTAGTTTAGGCACCCTAATTTACTTGGTGCCAGAGGCCAACCCAATAATGAAAAAGCAATTTTCAAACATAGGAAATAACATTTAGTAGTGCAAGGCAGATAACGAAAGCTTTTCAGACCGTAATCCAGTGAACAGAACAAGTCTGGATAGCACCAGTTCTAGCAACCGAGTAATGCACGGCATATGAGACACGGAAGCTCCCGGGGTCTGGAAGATGATTGGCTAACCGGTGTGATCGGGAACAACCACTCCGCATCTACTTGACCTAAATGGATATGCGTTATCTACGCATTTATATTTTTTCAGTTACGTTTAGCAAACTGCAAAGCAATAAGTCGTTTTGCTGTCCTCCTGCTTATCATTCATGGTTGTGAAAAACAACGGTAAGTGAGTCCTCTTCCCCACTCGGTGCACTCTCACAGCTGAGATGGATCCTACGTACTATCAAAGATTAACACTACTGACGTTTCAGCGTCCAAAATGGAACTAGTCGACTGAAGTCCATTGAACGGTGCAGTTGGATTTCTCATTTTGACACGATCCATGGTTATAAAACAGTATCAGCAGTACGCTGCTATACCGTAGTGACGCCTCGTTATCACACAACCACTACCAATCGAGCGATGGCTAGGGATATAATCAGCCTCGCCCGGTTCCCTATGCAGACGCGAACCTGCGACCTCCGGGTTGTTAGACCAATGTCTTGTCCTTTCGGTCAAGTGTCGTACTTAAACACCCATGTTCGAATGGCTACCACAGTCATCGATGCAACAGTCTCACTATATCATCTTTTTGTTTTAGACACAAAGGAAGATCATGTTCTAGAGCTGCGCATTCGTGAAACCAGATTGTGCACAACTGGAGTCAGAGCTACCCCATAAGATCATCCACGTTGACAGAACGCGCCTGTTCCATGAAAGTAAACGATTTGTCATCCCGTTTTAAACATCAATTTTCTGTGGAGACTTCGTATCCATTTACTAAGCTATCAAATATGCAAGACTTTACAACGCCGCATTTGACACAACCACTGAACATTGATACATCAGTTAAGTGCTCTGGTGGACTTAGTCTTAATCATGCATCGCAACAAGACTGCGGTTTTGAACTTGATAAGAAGTTTCTACAACCATCAATCGATGATCTTTCGTATTATGGAAATCCAATGATGAACCTAACATATCCTGCCGTTTTCGGCCCCGTGGAAACGAACTATTCAGTCGCAGCTCCTCAAACATTGCACCACATAGAAGCGGCTTCAAGTGCCAAATGTTACACTACACTATTTCCGCACGGAACTGTATCTGTCCCTAGTCAGTATTACGGTACTGCCGATTATACAAAATGTCCGTGTAACAACGGTTTAACTTCCATTGCTACAGCTCCCCTTACCGAATGCCATCAAAATGCGACCGATTTCTCACAAAGAGCGGGTGCAGTTTGGCAAACGCCGCAAATGCTGAAACCTGCAGAATCCGTCTATGTGGCTCAGCTGCCTTCGAATCTAGAAGTCATGGGGCACGGAGGTAATGGAACAGAAGCAGAGCAAAGGACTTGTCATACAGAAAGTAATTGTCTTATCGAAAATGGAAGCTTGTCGTTTTACCATAGGGAGTTGACAAGCGAAACCCCTGTGGCCCATTCAGGCATACACAATGGCAGTGGCGTCGACTTGTTAGTTACTAATTTGGACTACAACATTAGTGCAAAGGAGTGGCGCAAAATATTATTTACGCACTTGCAAGCTATAATCAAAAACGTTCAATCAGTCGTGCTCCAAACCCAAGCTGATGGCAGTACCTGTGCCATTGTAAGGGTCGGAAGTGTGGAAGAGGCGCGGCTTGCCATTTCGCAATTCCACCGGAAGAAAATTGGATACAAGCGTATTCAAATGAATATTATGCCCAGTACTCCATCTTTTGGGGCAAGAGGCTTTAAAATGGAGGCGGTTTCTCTGCTACGATCCGTAGCTGGCAACATGCTCCCGGTTTGCAAGTTCATCGACATTTTCGAAAAACGTTTCCATCGGAGTATAAGCGTCTCCGACATTTACAAAATGAGGGATATCCTAGAAATCAGAGATCAACCTGGAACAAAAGGGGGTCGCGTGGTATACCTGAACCCGCGCGCTTCGCGGTTTGATTACATAGAGGTACTGCGTACATAGGTTACATAAACCTGAGTGCTTTCATACATTGAATATCTTTTTACCATTTTTCGGTGTAAAGTGCTCCCGCAACACCTTTTGACTTCTAAACCAAATTTGTTGAGTATGGTTGGCTTTCTTGGACCTAGTTGTCACGTATCGAAATATAGCCTGAAATACTGAATCATTCTGTGGCATAGTTTTTTCCTTGGAGACAAGTGAGAAAATAGTACAATTCTGAGACACGATTTCTCAGTAGCATCTACCGGTTGAATTAGTCCAGTAGGCGCTTGAACGGGTAAACTACTGCTCACGTAGTGAGCATAGCCATAACCCTGTCCACCTACCTTTGTAATCTGATTGCCACTATTGCAGCAGTCATCGGTGTTGCATTATTTATGTACGATTAAAAAGGCAGCTCAAACATTAATGCGACTTTTTCAACCACTTTACCATGTCTGGAGAGCAGATCAACATCTGGTCAGCTTCAGCCTGGTTAAAGCGTTGACTACACTGTCAACATTCTTTTCACGGCCATGCTCTTGAATGATGTACAAAATTTTTTCAGACTTAATATGACTTATTCAAGCACCATCTACTTGACTTATCCACATGGCGTCGCCTCAACTGTGATGACCATGCACAACGACACATTGTGTTACGTTCGGTCGCTATAACCAGATTAGTTAGCTTTCTTTATGCGATGCGTGTACCCAATCCCAGTCGTTTACAGCCATAACGCTTTCAACTTTCTCTTTAGCGAAATCATGTTCTTTCTTAGGTCTCTCAAGGTAGTCTTTAAAGTTATCAAGCTGTATGCAACCGGCACAAATACTACTAAAATTGCTTACTGTACTTTGAGCGTTTAATCCCAAATCAGCCGATAGTACGACAGATAAGCACACAGAGTGGGATGTTATTGGCTGAATTAGGATTATCACTTAATGAACAATAGCGTTTTGGGGCATTCGCGCCCGTTGGAAGCAAGTTACTAGCGTTTAGTACCATCTTGAGGAATCTATGTACGAAAAGGATTTCTTTTAAGCGGAATTGCAAAGCGCTCTGTATGCAATGGGTTGAGGAAACCTATGGTTAAAGAAGGCTGTTTGAGATCAATTTTGTAAAAGCTTTTCAATGCGCTGTAGACTAATTACGATTTGGACCGTGGTCACAGCCATTCTGTTTACAAAAGTATTAGCGCCGTGGTCGCAGTGACCTAGTTCCCCTAAGTAAAACTGAGGTCATCTTACTGATACACTGTGATACCCTTGATTGTTCGATACCTAGTATTTAAGCAGCTGACTTCCCCTGTATGTTGCAGAACATTTTGTACTTACTGGGTGAAGTGCGCATACTGCCTCACATACCAGTAAAGGAAACAAGTGCATCCAGCTGGATTTCTCTCCCAGACAACTTCCTCTTGTATATATATGGTGAATTACTACTATTTTGTCGAGCTAGTGGAATATCTGACCTAGTCAGTCAGGTACAACATTCATTTTGGATCCCAACTGGCTTCTATGAATAACCTGTGTTTACGTGATTCATTGCAATTAAACTACAACCAGCAAACGTCAATTACCTATCCGAAAAAGCACCAGACGATTGTTTCGTCCCGTTTGAGCTCAACACTGTGTGCATTCTCTCGGTCCCCCGCTAGGGATCAAACCCATGACTGCTATTAGCTTGCAGCACTAACCAGCAGGTTATGCCACTGATCCACGGGGGACGATAGCCGACGAGCACGACCTAAATTCGGCCACTCATCAGTAGTCAAAAACTAATCCCTACCAGTTCCCAACAATGCCGTGTGGATTCACGGCACCGGCACTGAAAGTTCTAATCTCAGATGGCCAAGCACTGTCCTTTGCATGGGCAGTAACATGCATAGCAGCGCAGGTTGGGTCTGGCTAGATCGTAGTTAGGTTTCAATCCGTAATGGTTGGTTTTCGTCCCCATTCGGTTCACTGGCATAAAGCTGGCTAGTGTCTCAAGTGACTTGAGGTCATGCGTTCTATCCCAAACAAGTAATCGAGGGAATACGCATCACTGATGAGCCCTAATAGGGCGAAACGACCGTCTGGTGTTTGTCCGGGTAAGTAGTTGACTTTTGCGACTTGTAGTCTAGTTACGATGAAGCGAATGAATCACGCCAAATCAAGCTAGTCATGAGTGGACTATGTTTACCTCAAAACAAATTGTTAAGGCAGGTTTCTCGTCCCATTTTAAACATGCAGCAGGTGTCTTAAACCCACGAATGAATTTCCAGTCCTTACAATAGAAGTTGCTGACCGCACATGAATCTGCTGATGACCACAAGTACATCACTATTTTCGGTCACTACAATAAACCTACTTACCTCAATGCAGTCGTTGGACCGAAAACCCTACGAGCACACTCTGAATTACATTTTGGGAGATATAAATTGCTCGTTTTCCTTTTGAAAGCTTGGACACAGCACCTTTCAGTTCCAGTGAACCCCTATAAGCTCAAATTAAACCAAGATTTTCTGCTGAGGCTAGCATGCTACCTGCGCCTGAGGGGTAACACAATGCTTAGCGCTGTTAAGACGTGAAATGAAAAATGGTCACTGAGTGTCATTCGCTTCTTTATTTCTTTTACTCATGAGTAGTGCGGTTAGCACATTTCGGTACTTTGAAAGTGAAACACTGCTTCATATATCCATTCACTTTATGCTTGACGCTACTATCACTAAGTAATGAGGAACGACCGCTCTCGCTCGCTTCCTTGAGGAATCAGGCTGCTTCAATCCGTGATAGAGCGAAGGATTCTCGCCTGAAATATTAGGAAAATAAAGAAGAATAACATCGAGCAGTTCATAACACAGTAGCAATTAAAACGCAACACTTTTACGACCCTGTAGAAGAACAATAGCTGCTGCACGCTGGTTTGTTGCAATATCATATTCGCAGCGCTGTAGATACTGGATACTTACTGACAGAAATAAGTGCTCGCGGTCCGCTGCAGGCGTCAGACAATCGAACACAGATATTGTGCAAGTCACATCACAAGATTATGTTCCAAATGGCTGCAAATACCTAAGCCTGTTATAAAAATCATCTAGTACGTGATGAAAGTGAACTTGACTACTCAAACGACACTGTCTTCCATTCAAGGAATAGCATGGCAAGTGAGACCTGATAGCAACTGTTCCTTTTTCATTATGCTAATACAAAGGTGGGGAAGAGATATGTATATCAATCTGGAACCTGTCCCATTTCCTTCAGTGAAACTTATTTATGCCACTTCTTGCACGCATTATATATTGCTCATATTCAAATAAACAACTCTTTCTACATGACCCAACACAATGATGCACTCCTTGCATGGCCTTTCGTGGCTGCCCGAAGTGAAAAATCGGACTCAAAATCGTGGAACATATTTGTAACCTATCGATAAGTCATGATTTCAGAGAGAGTGGGAAACAAGCGGGTGGCGTGTTTGTTGGGCATCTTTTCGCTTTTGACACTAAGGCTTCATCAAGCCAGGTGAATCAATATGCAATTGGGGTGGGACGATATTCTCGATAGCATTTACATCAGTCAATGCGTTATTACAGTCACATGTCTGGTGTCACCTCACATGGTTTTGCGGTGCAAAAATTCACAGACCAATTAATTTCGTAACGTTATTGCAAGCTTCTATCTTGATGCAAAGCAAGGTCCGATAATTGGTTGCGTTCAAAATAATTATTGTATCTCTACTGGACAGTCATGTTTCACAATTGAATAGCGGAACTGATGAAGCGATCTTGACTTTTACTGTTCAGTAAGTGGGCAGAAACCAACAAGCGCAGCAGTACATAAGCCAATTGAACTGATGCTTCGCTGCCATCTAACAATGATGACACATGGAATAAAGAATAATAACCGGGAGAGAAGGGGGGCCTACCAGAAAACCGTAATGCCCCAAGCAAAGATACAGATTCAAGGCACCTACACATTGTGCTAACAACATACCGTCACAAACACCTAACTATCGTGCAAAAATCAGGCGACGTCAGCGAGACAGCTTCCTTGCGGCTTTCACGGCCCCGCGTCACAAACAGTCATTACCCCGCAGATAACTTGGCATCATGCACAGTTTAATCAGACAGTCCGACTAGATACGGCAGCAAACGCGCTACTGGAGTCCACTGCGAGCCATGTCTTGTAAATTCTCGAGCCATGCACAAGGCGGGTCACCTGGACTCGACCCTGGCAGCAGCGAAGGACAGAGAACACCAAGTTTTGCGATCAGTGGCTTCATTTCCAACTGCCAAGTTAACTTTTGTCCACTTCTAGCCTTGCACCATCCCATATCTAGCAGACTAAACACGGCCCTTCTAGGTAAGCGGTGACCAGGCATACATAGTGCGTGCCCTAGCTAACGCAGCTTATCCAGCGCTAGCTGTTATCCTAAGCAATTAGCTTGGTTATCACTACCTAGTACTCGCCTACGAAAATCATCGTTGCGGACACGCTGGTGCCACCCGACACAAGCAATGCTCCGCAGACAGCAATGAGTAAAGACTTAAAGAGGCCATAGCTTATCAGACGGAAGGCTGACTTCCATAGAGTAGGACGGCCCTCACTGTGGCCTTGTAAACACGGTCTTTCAGATGAAAGAAAAATTTCTTCTGTCTTTAAGAATGCCGCAAGTTCAAGAAGGCAGCTCTGGCTTTTGCAATTCATGAACTGACTTCAGTTTCTATGCGCTCACTGTTGATGCAGCTACCAAGACAAGTGAGTCGACCAACAACCTCGGGTCTCTCGTTATCAGGAGTCAAGGGGTCACCACGTGGCAGGTGGTCCTGCAGCAACACTTTGCACTTCGAATGTGCGAAGCGCATACCGACTAACGGGACCGCACTAGGGAAGCTATTCAGGGTTGATTGTGCTACCGCAACTTCGTCAACAATCAAGATGATATCGTCCGCGTAATCAAGATCAACTAATCCTTCACCAGGCAGGACCTCAACGCTTACATCGTGAGATTCCCTAAGGGAACGTTCCTTGATGCAGTCCACGATGACATAGAACAAAAATGAGGTAATCGAACAATGCTGATGGACGCCACTTGTTTTTGAAAAGCTATCCGACAGGTCACCGCAGACCCTGACGCCGCCGATAGTGTTCGAGTATAGAGCACATTAGACGTTCACAGATTTCGTGGGAATACTTTCCACACAATTTTTTCTAACAGATTACATTGATCGAATGAATTGAACGCACTCTTGAAGTCGAGGAACACAGCTATTGTCTGGCTATGGTATGCATGGTGCTGCTCTAGCCCCTGCCGCAGAGTGATTATATGATCCAAACAGCCACTCCCCAGGCGCAAACCTGCCTGCTCTCCTCTACTCTGAGATTCCCGTTCCACAGTAAGGCGACGAACGAGAATCGAGGCCGATAATTTTGTCACAACTGATTAGTGTTATTAATAGCAGAAGAATAAACATTGAGTAGCGTGCTTGATAGAGTTGATCCATGGTGCATGGCAAATTAAATGCACGATGTCCCCTCTGCCTCGGGAATTACTGGCGTCCTCAGTGGGATAGATGAACTACGCATTTACGGCGCACCGGTCGAAGTTCAGTGGGAAGATCAGAAAGCTAGTGAAAGTAAAAACGAAACAATTTGCATTTCAACCATACGCATCCATCCATATTCCTGTGTCTATTGTGTAAACGCCTGTAAGCTATTCTATGTCAAAGGTACTGGTGTTGTGTATCCAACGTGTTGGGCACCGATGGAACTAAAACTGATAAATCAGACACTTGGTAGAACATTGAGCTATGTTTTCAGCAGCCTAATGAAACTTATCGCATATTAACGGTCGATAATACTTGGCGGGAACACTCTTGTTTTCACCATATTTGTAGTGGTGCAGATTTTCAGACGAACATGAAAGCGAGGTAGCCACTGTTAACGTCTGTCGGGTAGCTCAGTGTCAATTGATGCCTATATCCCCGGTGCGACCACCTTCTGTTGATTCAGTGACTCATCATTTAAGCAGAGGCGCGCACACAACACCTAGCTGCCCCTGCGTGGGTCACCAGGTAGGAGGCACGTATTCTCAAATCACGCAATGACGACAGATAGAGCTCATCAGTCGGTTCACAGCCAAATCAAGCTCTACTAATAAAGTTCATGTTGGTTGTTGGCACTCGCGACGCTATTTAATGTCTTGCTGTTATCTTCTAGTCACCTCACTGACCCACTGTTACCCACTCAGAATGAGCACAGTCATGGCTGCAAGAGAATCCTAACCAGTTTCCGCATGGCACTGGAACTATAGTCCTCGTTGTCCGCATACTTGCAGCTACCCAGTATTTCAACTCAGCACTGAAGCATCTCCATCGACACTTTGAAACCAGGCAGCTTCTTTCTGTTCCGTTAATTGTGAAGCAGAGAAGTATACACCTCGTTGTGATGCATTACGTGCCTATGGACAAGCGCCAAAATCAAGCTAACTAGCGTGTGCCGAACGCCACTTATTAACAGCTATAATATGAGTAGTTTTATTTCGTCACACGCAAAATGTATAAACACAACAGGAAGCCATAGAAACTTAGGAAATGGCATCATTGCACTTATCATAACCCAATCCCCTTTAGACCGTGGGTTTCTACCCGAGTTTGTGCTTGTTCCCAAATGAAGCTTCTACTTATTAGTCGGTTAATGCATAGTGCATTGGCTGTAGTTACGCCACTTAAGGTTGCCAGATTTGAATTTCCGCGTCTCAAGCATACGTTTTGTGGTTCATTCAGGAACCGAATTTACGGCGGCGCTTATCTTCCATTTCTGTTAGACAACATTTATCACAGAACCAGTGGTATGCCAGCGTCACTGTTTGGAAGGAAGCATGGAATATTTACAAGCCATGGATGGCGCAATGCTTCCGTCCGTCAAAATTTCTCTCGGCGTCTTCCGTCAGCAAGTGTTGACTATCCTACGGGACCATGGAGGGTCAATGCCGCTGCTCAGCTTTCCGGCCTGTTACAAGGCAGAGTTCGACGATTTTGTCATAGTGCCCCCGCAGCTATCGAACAAACGATCCGACACCCCACCCACAACTTTCGGTCAACCAGAGGCAAACGAAGATGATGCTGGACCAAACCACGAATTCTTCAGTTCTCACCCAGAGCAGGAAACCAGCACCAAGTCGAAAAGCTGGTCCGAAAATCGTACCGATTACGAATTTACCGCCCCACTTGAACACCTGATTACCTGTGTTCCATACGTTCGTGTGCACACGGAGATGAACGGAGTCAGAAGAATTGTATATAGCCCCGGTGAGTAGGTAAATGCTTCGTGCGTATAAAATTTGATGCATATATTCAAATCCGGATCACCAGTACACAGCAGAGTTATCTGAGCGATTTACCTTAACCATAACATTTCTCACTTAGGTTACGTGTTACCACTTCCTTGCCCTTGTTACAGATCAGTCCCCTACCGCAGCTTTCCCTAATTGTCCGACCGGACAAAGACCTATTGAAGGCGGAAGACAATCTGCTGATGTGCCAACCACAATCCAGTCTAACTACGTGCCTTTGACCATTGGGGTCTCCTGCACGAACTCATCAACTAGCGCGGTGGGTATCCTACAGGATCAGCTGCATCAGTTCAGTCGAGAAGTGGTTGACCTCCTCAAACACCAACCAGAATGCCAGATCCTGTTGAGCAAGTTCATTCCCAGTTATCATCATCACTTCGGCAAACAATGCCGTGTGGCCGACTATGGTTACTCCAAGCTGCACGAGTTAATAGAAGCGCTACCGCATGTCGTGCATGTGATGGGGACAGGCCACGCACGTTTACTCACCTTGTCGCATCGCGTGCAAGTGCGTCGTTTCACGAATGAGCTCATAAAAGTTCTCAAATCCCAATCCACGAAATCCTGTCGACTGGCGGATTACGCATCTTTGTTTAAAAGAATTTACAGAAAGGTCGGTTGCAGTGGTAGTACTTTTCGTGCTGTCTCATCCATTTCCATTTTTTGTAGGGCGTCTACATGTTAAAACTCGCGTTGACTCTTATTCCCCACCTCTCCAGGATTTTCGGATCAGAGACTATGGGGTTTGTTATTTGACTGATATGCTTATGGAAGTGCCGGACAACGCAGTGGAAACTTTGAAACTTGGGTCCGAGTACATTATCTCCCTACCAAAACGGATGCAGACGACGGAAGAAAGGGAACGCACAGAACTGTTCGCAGTTGAGGTTGCGGAGCTACTTGGCCAAACGCCGCGGTGTCGCTTACTTTTTAGCAAATTCATCCCTTCATATCACCATCACTTCAGTCGACAGTGCCGTGTGGCTGATTACGGGTTCACTAAATTAATAGACTTGCTGGAGGCGGTTCCACATGTGATCCAAGTGAGTTGATCTGGGATTGTTGGATCCAGTTCGCCATGTTATTTCTCTTCCAGCACTGGTTCTGTTAGTTTCTTGTCTCTGACTTTGGGGGTTACAGTTGCAACACAGCTTGCGCAAATTTACGAAACACGGGTGAACAGGAAACCTTCGGCATGACTACTCACTACTCAAAGCCACTTCCAACCATTAGTTGTCTGTTACTTGGTAGTTGTTAGAAGATATAGCCCTATGAGGGATTCACTTAGTGTACTAGGCTCGGAAGACCATAAGTTTTGATAGTGTGTTTGGTTGCGCCATCGAGCGATATTCACCATCCGGCTAGGTGGAATCGCTTTCTCTAACTTTTTGTGGAGAACTCGTTTGTATTCCTAGATAATGCGGGTGAAAGTGGAGCGACTGAACCAACCTATTTCACAGGGACAAACGATTGGCTCGATTTCGTTGGCCAGTTTTCCGACGTATCCCAATATGAGCGTTTTGCAAGATAACATTGTTACCATGACTACCTGCTCCCGCTGGTAACAGGAAATCAAAATCGCATATTGCTTTACATTCTATTTCGGCAGTTCACGACAGTTGTTATAACATAAACAACCACATATCTCTATCCTCTATCTGCCATCATTGGGACCTAAGGTTTTCTGGAAGACTTTGCTTGCAGCGCATGGCTGTGCAGCATTTGAAGATCAATTTATCGCGGGAAACCTATGTGTTGAACCCGGGCTAATAGCTTCGTCCATATGGGCTGGATACGTATACGCAAACGACACAGATGCTCCCTTAAGGAAATTCGTGGCGTTGTGTTTCGGGCATTCGGCTTGCATTCTCTGCGATCCTGGGTCTAGCCCCTCCTACCCTTGGTTGAGCGTCCTTATATTATCCTATCCCCATGCAGAGGCTTGCATTTACATGGCCTCAGAGCACTAGGATATAGAACCTGCGCTAATCCTCAAGCTTTATGAAAATGACAATGGTACTCCTCTGTTAAAGGGAGTCTGCCATGTTCACCACCACAACTGTCTCAAGGTAAAAGTGTGCGCTTTCGAATCACGTGTTAGCGAACTGCAGTGTGATGTAGCAAAAGGTTCAACATTGAGGTAACGTCCATTACATAAGTACATCAATTACTTAAATAAATTGTATCTCCAGCAACGATAGGAGAAGCTGTTTCCTAGAAGGAACAGATCAAATAATGATAGAACCTTTCCAATTTTACGGAGAGAAAGCCTACAGTCAGCAATCAAGCCGAGGGCAGTGGCGCGAGAAAGTGGATCGATTTACAACTAGAGATCCAACTCGAGTAGAGATCCAAACGGGAATCTATGCGGGGTCAACCGCAAGTTGGATCATGAACTTCAACCAGTTGTGGCATGTCAATTAATATTAATTAGCATCTCCAGTATTGTTGTGTTAGTAGTTGCCCACGACCTGTTTATTGCGTCATGCTCTCATACAATGGAATCCCTCGGTCCGGCTGGTCTTGGCGTTCTTCTTTCGTTTCGGGTTGAACTGGTTGGGACGGTACAGCTAATTCAGGCAGTTTATCCGCACAGTCAGCGGAAACCAACAACATATTTCTGGCGACGGTCAGCTGCGCAGTAGCAGCAGTTTAGCCGTACATTCAGCGGAAACCAAAACATCCATGACATTGCATTAACAATTTCGCAGAAATAAATATTGGCACTGTTGCAAAATAGACGACACAAAGTAATCAGAATCGTTCAGCGAATATTTTCCTGTCGTTGAAGCAGGATTCTTCACAATCACATGACAGATCTTTTGTCCTAGAAAAGATGAAATTAAAGGGGCTGTTGTCCCAAATGTTATGTGTATGTGTTTCAGAAATTTATTCAGGCACCAGCGCCACCGTTTTCCAATGCGTTATATAGGGACTGTGATGTCCCGAACATATTAACCACGTTTTGGACGGTTAACCGCTTACTAATAGCAAGATTAAAATTGCGAAGTGTATAGTATGTTCTGATATCACTTGGAAGTTTGTTCCGAATCTTTGAGTATCGGCTTAGAAAGGAACGTTCTCTGATTCTCGTAGTAAATTTTGGAATCATGTCGTTTATCGCTTCGTTACGGGTTGAATATCTGCTGTTTAAAGATATGTGAACACCGTTAACAAGACTGCGAATTTGACGGTTCATGATTCTGTAAAGAAAACGTTGGTTCTGGTTCATTTTCCGAAGTCAAACTGGATCAAATCCAAGTTTAGCACATCGCTCTCTGTATGTCAACTTTGAGGAATATCCACATAACATTTTCGTGAAGAGTCTTTGGACCCTTTCAAGAGCATGCTGGTCACATTTCCGCAGATTAGACTCGACGCGTGAACAGTATTCCATACACGGCAATGCATATTTTTTGTAAGGCGATATGCGAGATTCCGTGAGGTAAAAATGGCCAGATGTAACCGATGGTCTTAATGGCCGAAACTTGAAAGTCACAATGTACAAAAAGTTAAAATTGACTGAATATCGTACGCCCAAGTTGCGAACTGCCCTACATTGCAAGATATATGAACCCTGAAGTAATAAATTGTCTGGAAGTACTTGAAAATTGTATGACAAAATATTACACTTGTCCGCGGCAAATGACATCTACGACAGTTGGTACCAGGAGTGAAGGGCAGATAGGTCTTCCTGAATGAGACGTACGGCTTCCTGGGTATTTGCACATGGTTGTGAGTAGACAACTTTAATGTCATCAGCAAAGATAAATGTAACATCATTTATTCTCTGGAATATATCGTTAATATATATTAGCCAAAGAAGAGGACCAAGAACACTCCCTTGAATTACTCCACTGGTGATTGCTTTCGGTTTGGCGAAATGGTCGCTGATGCGCAACACCTGCTGTCTACCAATTAGATATGAAGACAGCCAAGAAAACATCGGTTCTCCAATGCCTATATCCTTCAGTTTGTTCAGTAACTTTCTGTGAGGTACTATATCAAAGGCTTTTTGCATAGCTAGGATTACAACACTGTTTCCGTTGTCCATGGCAGCCGTGGTGTGGTTTAAAAAGTCCGTCTGGCATGTTGCACAGGATTGACCTTGCATGAAGCCAGGTTGCGAATTGCTGATGATGTTAGCCTTGTTCAAAAATAGAAATAGTTCATCTTTCACTATCCATTCCATTAATCTAGATACGATAGGTGTGTGATTGATGGGACGAAAGTCTTTAATTTTGTGGGCGGCGCCAATTTTGTGTCGCGGGATAACGACAGAAATTTTCCATTGAGTAGGGTATACTCCGTTGTTAAAGGAGAGTGTAAAGATGTTGAGAAAAAGCAGAAGGAAGTTACTACCACCGCATTTTATTAAACAAGGGGTGATCTCATCAGATCATAAGCTATAGGTTTGACCAGTGATTTTCGCTATAGTGAATTCCACTGTGTATAGACTTTTATTAGTGTTTGGCATGATAAGTGCTGGTGTGTCTGATAATGTATTGCTCACTGATTCGGCAAAACAAGCACTGAAAGCTTCACAGATATTACCTGGTGCGTCGTAATATATTCCATCAAGCGTGGTGATAAAATTGACTTTGTTGCTGCAGCGCGAAGCCCGGACACAGGATAGTTTTGCTGGCTCGCTTGTTTTGCTAAGAACCTTCAGAGCTTTATACTCTTCTAGAATGAGAGCTTTGTCATTCTGATGCCTCTGTTCTTCGACAAGCTTGGACTGCTGTGATAATGACGCAAAGTCAGCAGTTAACCTGAATTTCTGCTGTATCTTATGAAGTTTTCCTGCTGCCTTCAACGCCTTGCGATCGGATTTATGTTAAGTTTGCTAAGCACATTTTAGTGGTACTGCTGAATCGATGCAAAAGCTAATTATACTATAAAACTGGCCCGTCGCTTGTTGAGGACATGAAGAGAGAACGAAGTTACCCCAATTCATCGAACGAACCAGGTCCTTGGAAGAGATCTGTTTGGCGGAACTGAACAGACGATGATGCATTGTGTTCAGTACATCGGCCAGGTGTAGTCTTAGGCGGCATTTGAGCACGCGATGATCGCTCCCCGGGAATTCATCAAGAACGTTAACACTGATTTCACGTATGCCCAATGAAAAATGAGACCCAGAGTAAATAGAAATTTGGTGTTGCCCGCGGGCAACACCCAATTTCTATTTGCATCAGCTACGGTCCTCGTGATCGAAAGACCAAGGTTCACTTCAATGGGAATCGCGGTCAACCTTGGGATTGCGCGTCGTAATCCATCCACACAACTTGTACTTCAAAACGACCCTCAACCTCGAGACCCAGAGTACTTTCACCTCTGGTAGCTTGGGGAAGCGTGTTGCTGCCAGCCATTCAACTAACTTACTAATTGCACGCAGTAGTTGCACCGAGGCAGCTGACGCTGGAGAAGGTGTTTATGTAATCTACCTGGATTTTTCAAAGGCTTTCGATCGTCTAGCCCATCGGATACTACTATCCAAGCTGCAGCATTACGGGATCGGTGACCCTCTTTTAAGCTGGATCGCCAACTTTCTACTTCAACGGCAATTAGTGGCCAGAGTTCGGAGCTCTTTATCGGATCCCATACAAGTTGAGTGTGGTGTGCCGCAAGGCTAAGTTCTAGGTCCACGTTTGTTTTTGGTGTTTATTAATGACCTTGCACAAGGAATCGTTTCAAACTTCCTAATGTTTGCCGACGATATCAAGATCTGGCGCAGGATCCAGGCAAACGCCGACCATCATCTGCTTCAGAGTGACTTAGATACAGTGTATCAATGGTCGTCCCAAAACCTATTGCATTTCAACGTCAGTAAATGCAAGATGCTTTCTATCCGACATCAGAGCAGCTACTCATACCAACTTGGAACGGATGTACCGCAACAATCAACTCTCGAACGTGACTTGGGTGTCCTGGTTCAAGATGACTTGGGTTGCTCCAGGCAATCCGAAAGGGCCTCGAAGACCGGGAACCAACACGTCGGGCTGTTGAGGCGGGCATTTGGACAAATAAACAGCTTCATATT